AGGCTTGTTGTTCACTTTTATAAAATCATGCCTTCCCAAACTGGGCGCTGATTAAGTTCAGTCGCATCCAGCACAAAGAGCAACGCTGGCATACCATCGTTAACAAGGAACTGCTCACAGGAACAGTCTGATACCCATGTTAGATCCAGCTTTGGTGTGCAGTTGCAGTTATGATCGAATGAGCAAGATCAACCATTTACGATCCACTGCTGGATGAAGGCCTCTTCAAGTCTTTGCATCAACTTCTCACGTTTTCATTCATCTTCATCTAGTGAACTTCTTCACCTCATCCTTCCTTCGATCTGGAGGTTTCCCTATGGACCGTTTACTCTGTCTTAAACTCAAATCCAATGTTTCTCTGGTTCCGCGATGGTTACTTCTTCCTGCAATGTGTCCTGCTCATTGTTGCCTTCACTTATTCACTGGATCAATGACATAGGGACTCTTGTTCATATCTTATTCCATTTATTAATCTTTCGATCTTTACCAGTTAATCTAAACATACGTATTTCCATTATGTGTTGCATATGCGCTGTTTATGAATTGACTTTATGCGTAGGGTCCGTATGGCGCAGCCGGAGATCGGAGGTTAGTGCTGGAGGCACACAGTGATCGAAAACTTGCAGTTTCTGGTACAGGTGCATTTTTAGTTTTCGTAAAGTGCTCCATGTCATTTTTGTTCTTCTGCTGATGTAACGCAGTGGAACTTAACGTTGCAGAGATGAGCTGCTGCACACGGACGTAGTTTCGGAATTTTTTGGACTTGAGTTCGTTGACTTCAACGGGTGAAGTATTTGCTAATCAAGGCTTGAGCCTTCCTCAGATTTATTTTCCGTCCTACGTTGATTCTGAACTCGTTTAACTCTGGGATTCTTTGTTAGAGTTCATCTGATGACCTCGTTAAAATCAGGATATCGTTGGCAAACCTCAAGAAGCTTAAGTTGTGCCCGTTTATGTTAAGCCCCTGATTTTCCCAACGGAGTGTGTAGTGTCTTCTAGGACTAACTTCAGTGACATTGTCTCTCCCTGTCAGAAGCCCTTTTCGAGTCTGAACTTGCTTGTTCTTCCGTGAGTCTTCACACTAGCAATTGCATTTTTGTAAGACATAACCGAATAACACGTGGCATCAATTCCTTTGTCAACTGTATTTGACAACGTTTCGCGTGACTCTCTCAGATTCAAGAATCTGAGTGAAAACAACAAAGCAGAGAGGGCTGCTAACATTCCTCTGAGTTCAAAACGTGTAGTCCCACCGTCCTCTTTGTTGTAGCAGCCAAGGGTACCGCTTAAGAAAATCATAGCTTCATTCAGCACCTACAGTACATAGGGGTCGCAAACCCTCACCACTTTGCCGGGTGGACCAATGGCCTATTCGACCACCGATGACAATACCTTGAACCGCGTATATAATAAAAGTGAACGCCTGTGCCACGGATTTATTAGCAAATGTAAAATTAGGCAAAACACATTTTTAACTTTTCGATTATTCTGTGGATGTTTGTGACTGCCTCTGTTGACCATGAATCCAGCCTAATCGTCAGTCGTCTAGGTCTTAACGTCATCGGTGGCATCATTGGCACTGGGTCGTTATACCAATGAATTGTGGTCCTCTGACAATAGCGGCATGTCAGATCTCGATACAACCGTTTACTGTAAATTTTCCCATTCCATTATCTGAAAGCTTAAAATTAATAAGAATATTTTGTTCGAAGATCGATGTTTTGGGTAGAACTTATATTGGTCATCATAATGTCACAGTACGCAGAGGTATCGAAGCATGTGTCGACTGCGATTGACTTAATATTGCACTTAATATTAAACTTTACGTTGAATGTTGGGTATACTAACTATGGTGCTACGAACCACAGACGAAGCGAAAGATTTCCCACTGATGACACTTAACTGGTATATCCTCAGCAACACGTAAATTAAATGAAACAGCCGGTCGAGCTGATGGATTTTTTCAAGATCCATTTCTTCAAATACTGGAAACTATATAGATACTTATATGATGACATCGCATTAGTACTTACGCAAATTGGTGCAGTACTGAATTTAAGTTTCGATGAATAAATGATCTTTAATAAGCAATAGACTGGACCTTTGATGTTATTTATGTGCATAGGAGAAGGCGATTCCTCATACAGTTCGTAGTAATTTCCGGCTG